TGTCGATGAGTTGTGTTTCACCCAATATGGTGAAATGGCTTTCGTACATGTCAAGAGCAAGAAGGATATCCATCAAAATCTTTTTTGCACTAGCATTTCGACCAACAGAAACAAAAGCTCGGCAATCAAATTCTTCTTTAATCTTGTCATAAACCGTTTTGACAAGAGTGGTCTTGCCTAATCCTCCAAATCCGACAACGGTGACAATCTTCAATTTTTTCTTGGACTCGTTGTCTCCTTCTGAAAGCAACTTCATTAGCTCTTGATCCCTTTTCCCAGCAATGCCAACAAGCTCTGTCACTTCGGTGTATAGAGCCTGAAGGCGAGGATCGATGGGAGTCACCGCTGCAGGCATAGCAACAATATTGTCGACATTGTACCGCACACGCCTTCTAGCAACGTCTTGGACTTGCTTATTGATGTCCTTGATGGCGTTTGCGATCTCATGGTGAGTCTTCCCCTTGGTGAACAAGCCGGTCATCTTCTTGGTGAGCCGTTTGATCTTGTTCGAGTTGGCCACAGGCTCAGAGCCGTCATCGACACGCACCAGAAACTTGTCAACGACATCCTCCATGTTGAAGGAGAGCTCCCTCACCTCCCCCGCCCAGAGCTTGACCTGCTCGTCGAGTTTGTCACGTGGCACTTCGCCCACCTTGCGGAGGGCAGCGTACATGCTCTTCATCTCTTTTCTCGAGAGACTCGACACTTTCCCTGACCTTCTTCTTCAACTTGTACTCCTCCTTGAGGAGCTCGAGCAGCTTGGGGAGCAGGGAGCCCATGGCGCTCGTCGCCAGATTCATTTGGAGCTGTTCCCTCTAATCAAATTGGTTTATTGTTTGGTTGGTGTGTGTTTGGAGCTGCGGTGATGCATTTTGTAGAACCCGGGCAAGTTCAAAGGAATAGATAGTATCATGTGAAGATGAATAGCTATACAGTCGTACGTACAATTTTTTGGCGCGTGACTGTTCGCCTTTAAAACAAGCGACACCAGCCGACACGCATGTAATTTCCACATGTGCAGGACCACTCATTACAGCTAATGATTCTCAATTTTCCATTACATGTCGTACGCATGACAGTTCGCCTTTAAAACAAGGCATCGCTGGTGTTCACCCACACAGCAGGGACGAAGGCAAGTAGGCAAAGCCATAAAAACACAGTGGGATGGCTTCGACGACGGGATGCAAACCATGGATGGCTGCCTGATGCGGAGAGAATGTTGTGCAGTGGCGACGATCACACATCGCAAGTAACTGCTGGGATTGTAAAAAAACGGTGACGACCAGTGATGACAACACATGACTGGTGTCGATGACGGTGCAACTCGAGCACCCGGTTTTGAGCTCCAGAGTGAAGGCCTATGTCTGACTCGAGTTGGTTATATTTGGCAACGGCGATGTTTTTTATGTCGTTACTTTGTTGAAAGCATTGCTTGGATATGTCCGGACTCATTCTTCAGGGTGAAAATTTAGATTCTGACTTGGTGGTTGAATCCGCTAACCGTGATGCTTGAGTGTCGTTCCCTTCCTGAAGGCGTTGTTGTTAAAGATCCTCTTTATCCATGTGATGTCATAAGATGGTTGATGTGGATATGATCATTGTTGTAGTTTGCCGATCGCGGATCTCATCTCTTTGTGGTATTATTTTATTTTTCCTTGCCAACACATAATTTTGATCTTATATGACTTTGCTATTCTCTGGCGTGTTTTTTTGTGTGCGTGCGTCGGTGTTGACTCTACCTATGCAAAGACCAGATATGTACTCATTGTATTTGTATTCACTTGTTGTTTCACTTCTAGCAAATAAAATCCACTTCATAAAAAATAAAACAAAGTGGGCGCGCAATGAATAACCAGCAAATTGTTCCGGTAAATTTATTTGAGGGAAGGCCATCGGTCTCCATTTTATTTTATTTTATTATATCAGTACAGACACACACACTCATATATGCACGCATACATGCACATCCCACCCCAATGAGCACACAATTTGTTCTTGTATGGCATGAAAATGTGTGCTCGCTATTAAGATCCAAATTTTTAATAATTAAATTGTTTTCGATGTACCTTGCTACCTTGGTTGAATATTCCTTGAACACTTTTATGCCTAGCTTATTGGCTTTAAAGAAAGCGTTGCCTGGGAGACATCACGAAAGTTTTAGAGTCTTTTTCTTGTTTTGTGTGCCCTTAAAAATTTTAAAGCAAAAAATAAAGTGGGGAATTTAAAACTTTTTCAGAAAGAAAAATGAAAGTGAGAAAGGAGCATCAGAGAAGTGGGGACGTCCTTGAACTTTCGTTCATGCCCATGGTAATTTTGTGAACCTTGTATCATTGAAGGCTTTCAACAAAAATAATTATCCCCTTAGTACCAAGATTTACCTTTAGCATGTGGTAGTTTGCAAGTTTATGGGTGGTGCTAAAACAGATTGTTTGCTGGAGCTAGATAAACATACCATTCAACAGAATTTGATAAAAATCTGAAATTTTGACAACAAGAATCTATGAGTTATCTGTTACGTGCTTCTTTCATAATTATTTGTAGTTACAGAAGTATATGTTTCATCCGCATGTTTACAGTGTATCCTGTTTTCCCAGATTGCGGTTATAGTATTTTTAACTGCTTATGTTTACAATCTTATTGTGCCCTATTGATGTGGAAGTGTTAGAATTGTGTTAGCATACAGTAAGTAATGTTAGATTATAATTATACATTGTTGTTATAGCAAGACATGATGAATAGCGGTTATATTGATTTGGATCACGACGAGTACGACTCTTTCAACCCCGTTCTCTTGAACGCTTCCGCTTAGCGATCTACAAGGGTATGTAGATGCACTCTCCTCTCTCTCGTTGCTAGTCTCTCCATAGATAGATCTTGATGACTCGTAGGAAAATTTTGAATTTCTGCTACGTTCCCCAACAGATTGATGATCATTTTTTTGAATTTGCAAAATAAAATAAAATTGAAGACAACATTTTTTCCCTAAAAAAAGAAATCTTCAATATTTTCTGAATATGCGAACATATTTTTACAAACTCACAATTTTTTAAGTCATGAATATTTTTCGAATCCGCGAACATTTTTTACATATTCACAAACATTTTTTGAAACCAGCGAACATTGTTTTGCAACTAGTGGGCATTTTTTGATTTGCCGAACATTGTTTGCAAAATTCACAAATTTTTAATATGCGCACATTTTTTCAAAATCATGATTATTTTTTGAATCGACGAACATTTTATGATTTCTTGAACATTTTTTTGAAAATCCCTTTTTTTGGAAATTTGGAGCTGGTGATACACATACGGTTCAATGACAATGACAGACGGTAAAGTCACCAACTATAGAAACGTGGATTTATGATAATAATGGAGGAAAACAAGATCTATGCATGTACATATACATAATCTGGAATACTGAAATGGTTTCCCTTCCAACAGAAAAACAAATTGCATGTAACCTGAAGATTGACCTTTATTATTGGGAAAGATTGTAACGGGAAGGTTCTTCACTTCTTGACTCTCCTAGACGAAGGTGTCGTCATCGCTTGTGCCTTCTGGAAGAAATAAACAGAGAGTGAAGGTCGATCAGTGTATAAAGACATGCATCAGGGAAAGGACATCTCATCATGGGTTTTAATTACGTACCATGTACTATGTCCGGGATGAAGAAGACGCCAAACACGGGACGGTTAGGATGGGCATGGAGTGTGTTCTCCAGTGCAGCCCGCGCTTGCTTGACCTTGCCAATCATCACTCCGGAGGTGTAGAATTGGACGTGAACCTTCTGAAGGGACATCAGGTATCCCATGCCCAGGTCAAGCCAATCACCACCGTCGCCAGCTGCTTCCTCTTTTGCGACCCGCAAACCAATTTCAAACTTGACAGTTTCATCCCTGGGCAAAGCTCCAGGCCGGAACACGATCCGGCCCAGCGACCGGCAAACCAACACGATTGTTGTCAGACAACGGAACCCATCAGCACTGAAGAATAGTTGCCTTTGGCGGGTGGTTCGTAATGTGAGACTGTGAAGAGCCGATAATCTCCCAAGGAATCCCAGATCCTCCTGCCCCACTTCCTCGACCCATATGTGCAACTCGTATAGTTGCGACAGATGCGAGGGATTCCTCCTTATCCATGCTGGCAACGTGGAGAATATGCCGTGTTTGTCGGCGATAAATTCTCGGAGACTTCTAAGAGGCACCCAACGTTCCCCCAGGAGATCCATGGAAGCGCCACTGGCATCAATTTCTAGACTTTGGATGTTGGAAAGTTCTCCTAGTGACTCCATAAAAGCTTCCTCTAACTCCATGCTTAGGTCATTAAATTTAATTTGGAGCTTCCTCAATGTTTTCATGTTGCCCAGTGCTTTCACAGTGCATAGAGAATCACCACAGATTTCACCCAACACTTCCATTAATGTCAACTTTCCTAGTCCATCCGGAAGATTCCAGAGAGGCTCGGTTAGTAGGCACATCAATCTTCTCAGTTTGGTAACACTTAATGGAAGTTCTTTTATATCATAATTTCCACTCAAATCCAACACCTGTAAAAACTATAACTTTCCAACTTCTGGGACCTCAGAAATTCCTATATCGGCCAGACCTAGGTACCTCAGGTGAAATAAAGTCCCCAAGTCCTGAAGGTTTAGATGGTTATGATCACCAACATTACATCCAGTCAAATCCAGTACACGTAGAACAGCGAAGCTCGAAAAAGGCGGCAATAGACCAATATCAGATTTAAATGTGGCAATAGACCTCACTTGTAATATACTCCCAGAAATAAGAGGCATTGTTTGATGTTCTCCTTTGATTGTATTTTGGAGGGACAACCTACGCACATTTCTCTGAGAAGAAATGCTATCATGGGTGCCATTCAATATGGTAACAAAATTCTCTTCTTTTGACAATGAACAAATTAGATCAAGCACACTATCATGTACACGACAAGCATATACAAAGCCACGATAATTGTATACCGGCTGGATCAAGCTTCTGTTCACCAACTCATTGAAGTAAGTCTCTCCGATCTCAAAGAGACTAGTTTTGCTTTTTCACATTGGACAAAACTTTCAGCAATCCACATCCATATCAATTGATCTTTCATAATCTCACGATCTTCTGGAAACATGCTTAGATATAACAAACATGTTCTTAGATGGGAAGGCAAGTCATAATAGCTAAATGATAGTATCCTCATCATCTCCTCTACACCGTGGTCTTTGGTAAGTCCACGGCCAATAGACTCTAGCAAAATGTGCCACTCATCCTCTAGTTTTAGATGTTGATCACTAGCCAAAAGACTAGCTATAGTAATTATGGCTAATGACACTCCACCACATTTCTTCAATATGCATGTGGACACTTCTTCTAATTCACGAGGACATCCACTCTCTTGAGAAAATATTCTTTTATAGAACAACCTTTTGGAATCATCATCACTAAGAGGTTCCATTTGATAGACTGAATCATTAGTAGATGAGCAGCATAATTTAGATACATTGACTATACGAGTTGTCGTGATTAGCCGACTTCCAAAAATGTTGTTTTTAGAGAAGGCCCAGTTGATAATTGTCCACAGTTTTTCATCCCATATATCATCAATTACAATGAGGTACCTATATTAATTATGAGATCATCAATTTAATAATTGTACACATGGTAAGATTTAAAGATAATCTAGCAATATGCCTTGGAGATAAAATTATGGAAGGATAAAAAGACGGAGCTATTACTAAATTAAATGCTCATGTTTCAACTGAAGTATATTTATGTGCATATTTTCTATTTTTCCATCAGTTTTCCTTAGGTTGCCTATAATGGAAGTATCATAGCTAGTATTATGCATGCCAAATAGACAATTTTAATGAGGTGACATGGAATTAAATGAAGAAAGAGAGCGTTGAATATCATACCATGACACAGTATTATAATATATATTGTGCTACTATATACTCCATCCGTTCCTAAATATAAGTCTTTTTAGAAATTTCAATATGGACTATGTATAGATGTATAAAGACATATTTTAGAGTGTAGAATCACCCATTTTGCTATGTATGTAGTCCATATTGTAATCTCTAAAAAGACTTATATTTAGGAACAGAGGGAGTATATTGCATGACAACAAATAAGGTCATCTAAGATACTAATCTATTACTACACAAGATATTAATCTATAATACTAAGCATTACAAAGGTAGTATTAGAGAATAGTATCATATGCATGATACTTTGTGATACGACCCACTACGGGCAGGCAAGACAAAAAGACTATTGATTTATGATCATGTTTCAACCAAATACTAATCCCTTTTCTATCTGTCCATCTTTATGAATTGGTAGAGCACCACACCTTCCACTATAAATAACTAGTGGAGTGACCCGAGCATTTGCGCGGCTTGATTTACTATACAGTTTTATAAGCATAATATCTGATTTTTGGACACATGCGCTAATATGCAACAACAATATATATCTCTTCATCTTCACCTACTAGTGGTGACCGTTTGTCCTCCCTTTTTTAAGTGGAGACCGTTAGTTCTCCTTGATCATGTATTGATCAACTGAACTATTACCAACAATTGAGCTTAAATTGAGATTACAAACCACCAACCTAAATCTGGTTTGCGTAAATACCCTGACCTACCATTAATGTACAATAATACCAAGAAAAAACTCAATTCGATAAGACATTTCGTCTTGTAAACATGAACGAATATCGTTCAATCCATTCCATTCTTGCTTGTTTCTTTTTGTATGTATTAATACCAAAAGTTATAAATTTGATCATATCCTTTAGTAGGATTTTTCTTCTTATCGAAAATGGTTATGACAATTTTTAATCAATAAGTAAGTCTAAATATTGATGGCTTATACACCATTAGACCATTTTGTTCTCCACGTGTCTTATTTATAAGTTAATTGAAATTAATTTAATTCCTAAAACTCATCCACATTAACCCACATCATGTTTCATTTATGTCATTTTCTACTTGTGCACGGAAAGTTTGCATTATGTAGTAATATAAACTATTCAACTACTTTCCTTCGTGTGATACTCTCACACACATACAAATCACAATGACATTAAAACACAATTATTCTCACATGATGTTAACAAAGAAAAAGTATTCTTAGATGATGCCATGCAAGCCCTTAAGTGATCCTTATACATATATATACTCAGTTCTTCCTCTCAATCTATCACTTATTCATTACTTCTAGTTATTTTAGGGTTTGTAGTAATGGACGGTACATGGATGCTTTTGCTCAGCTACATTCTACAAACGTTGAACTCTTTTATTGTACAGCTAAACCCATTCAAGTTGATATTTCTAATGCATATTTCATGTTTATCCTTTGACAAGACTACATAGTTAATACTTGTGTTTCAACACATAAATTCTCTTTTGGTTCTCAGTTTGTCACTTTTTCGTCCCTTCTCGTTGTGGTTTATGTACAACCTCTCTCTATATAGAGTTCATGACTATCATTTTTTATTCTATTTTGATATAACAATATTAGTACTTTTTATCCTTGTAGTAACATTTTGTATGCATTGTGCATTAAAAATAATATTTTAAGTACGAAAATATACAAAATGGTGACAATTAGGAAGTAAATAGTGGAACTTACTCTAAAATCGTCAATACATTTAAACCTCACAACTTGCATATTATTCCACAAGCACCAATTGAAAGAAATTATCAGCTTAAGCTAGTTGCCATCATAAAGTGAGTGACAGGTCATACCTCTTGTTCTCGAGACGTTCCCGGAGTTTGTCGATGAGTTGTGTTTCACCCAATATGGTGAAATGGCTTTCGTACATGTCAAGAGCAAGAAGGATATCCATCAAAACCTTGTTTGCACTAGCATTTCGACCAACAGAAACAAAAGCTCGGCAATCAAATTCTCCTTTAATCTTGTCATAAACCATTTTGACAAGAGTGGTCTTGCCTAATCCTTCAAATCCGACAACAGTGACAATCTTCAATTTTTTCTTGGACTCGTCGTCTCCTTCTGAAAGCAACTTCATTAGCTCTTGATCCCTTTTCCCAGCAATGCCAACAAGCTCTGTCACTTCAGTGTACAGAGTCCGAAGGCGAGGATCGATGGGAGTCACCGCTGCAGGCATAGCAACAATATTGTCGACATTGTACCGCACACGCCTGCTAGCAACGTCTTGGACTTGCCTGTTGATGTCCTTGATGGCGTTTGCGATCTCATGGTGAGTCTTCCCCTTGGTGAACAAGCCGGTCATTTTCTTGGTGAGCCGTTTGATCTTGTTCGAGTTGGCCACAGGCTCAGAGCCGTCATCAACACGCACCAGAAACTTGTCAATGACATCCTCCATGTTAAAGGAGAGCTCCCTCACCTCCCCCGCCCAGAGCTTGACCTGCTCGTCGAGTTGGTCACGTGGCACTTCGCCCACCTTGCGGAGGGCAGCGTACATGCTCTTCATCTCTTTCTCGAGAGACTCGACACTTTCCCTAACCTTCTTCTTCAATTTGTACTCCTCCTTGAGGAGCTCGAGCAGCTTGGGAAGCAGGGAGCCCATGGCCCCCGTCGCCAGATTCATTTGGAGCTGTTCCCTCTAAGCAAATTGGTTTGATGTTTGGTTGGTGTGTGGTTGGTGCTGCAGTGATGCATTTTGTAGAACCCGGGCAAGTTCAAAGGAATAGATAGTATCATGTGAAGATAAATAGCTATACAGTCGTACGTACAATTTTTTGGCGCGTGACTGTTCGCCTTTAAAACAAGCGACACCAGCCGACACGCATGTAATTTCCACATGTGCAGGACCACTCATTACAGCTAATGATTCTCAATTTCCATTACATGTCGTACGCATGACAGTTCGCCTTTAAAACAAGGCATCGCTGGTGTTCACCCACACAGCAGGGACGAAGGCAAGTAGGCAAAGCCATAAAAACACAGTGGGATGGCTTCGATGACGGGATGCAAACCATGGATGGCTGCCTGATGCGGAGAGAATGTTGTGCAGTGGCGACGATCACACATCGGAAGTAACTGCTGGGATTGTAAAAAAACGATGACGACCAGTGATGACAATACATGACTGGTGTTGATGACGGTGCAACTCGAGCACCCGGTTTTGAGCTCCAGAGTGAAGGCCTAGGTCTGACTCAAATTGATTATATTTGGCAACGGCGATGTTTTTTATGTCGTTACTTTGTTGAAAGCATTGCTTGGATATGTCCGGACTCATTCTTCAGGGTGAAAATTTAGATTCTGACTTGGTGGTTGAATCCGCTAACCGCGACGCTTGAGTGTCGTTCTGTTAACGTGACATATCTGTATAAGCTGTGTACGTTTATTTTTCTACCTTATCTCACCGAGCCTGTTCGGTTGGAGATCTTCACGGTAGTTCTTTCTTGGCTCTCAAGACTTTGTACACGAGGCCAATATATATTGAGCTGATCGCCCCTTTGCGTGGCGTGTCTTCCCTCAAACCTTTTCTTTCCCTATACGTTTATATGGTATCAGACAATTCCGATCTACAAACCTAGCTAGCTTCCGCCGCCAGCCTCCCAGCCTCCACCATGACGTCCTCGGCCGCCACCTCCTCCGCGATGGATGCTCTCACCTCCGGAGCCCTGTCCACCACCGTGGTCCAGGCTGCGTCGCCGGCGTCCCTCGCCATCAGCGTCAACGTCAAGACGCACATCCCGGTCGCCCTCGACCTCCAGGCTTCCAACTTCTCCAAGTGGAGTATGCTCATGAGCGTCCTCCTCGGCAAGTACGAGCTCTCCGGCCACATCTCCACCGACACCCCGGCCGCCGATCGCACCGCTGAGTGGTCGCGCCAGGACTACATCGTCCGCTCGTGGCTCTACGGCTCCGTCTCCGACGACATCCTCGACATCATCATGGCGCGGGACCAGACCGCGTTTCAGGCCTACGCGCTCATCCGCAACCTCTTCCTCGACAACCAGCTCACCCGCGCCGTCTACCTCGAGGCGGAATTCCGCGCCATCGTCCAGGGCGATCTCACCATCGCCGCGTACTGCCACAAGCTCAAGACTCTCTCCGACGCCCTCCGCGACGTTGGACAGCCCGTGACCGACACGACCCTGGTGCTCACCTGCCTCCGGGGGCTCAACCCCCGCTTTGCCGACATCATCACCCTTGTCTCTATGCAG